TTAATGCCCCTATATTACAGCCTTTTCGGAAAAGGTTGTTCTCACGAGTCATCATCCGAAGACGTGGCCGTCCTGTGGAGCCCGACGACGCTGTAAGGCCTGAGGCCCGACATCCCCGAAGCTCTAGGACACCCTAAACCATACCTTAAGCCGGAATAACCTACCTTTTTAGGGTTCCTTATTATGATTTCCTTATATAAGTCCTTGAAAAGGTAGGTTATTCCGGCTTAAGGTAAGCCCTAGAGGTCCTTAAAGACACACAAAAACCCTAGACCCTCTCTGAAGTGCAAAAGTCCAACCCTGAACCCTAATCCCTAAACCCCTTTGCAGTAAGAGTTCACCATGCAACGATGTTCAAGCTTCCTTTAAAGAATCCCTAAACCTCCTGAACCCTAAACCCGAAAGCCTAAACCCTAAACCCAAACCACGAATCAGCCCTGACGCCCCGGCGCAGGTGAAAGTCATGGAGCCGGCTTGGCGTGGTTTCAAGGGCTTCTAAGGCTTCTCATAATGCGACAAGCGGGCCTTGAATTGAATGTTCCTGATGAGCTTTTAGAAGGTTTTATCTAGGTGTTGTGATTGGGTGATTGGGCTCTTCGTGAACGCTTAAGGGTTCAGGGCTTTAGGTTTGATGGGTTATACTCTCGGGGGTTTCACGGCTTGAGGGTTTGGGCTTGGGGGCTTCTGGCTTTTGGGGTTTTACATGTTGATTCGGGTCTCGAGGGTTGAAGATGTTTGAGACCTCACGGGCATGCAGACATTCTGGGTTGCCAGGTCATCCTACGTGGACAGGGATGGCCGAAGGCACTTCCAATGGCAGGTGCGGTTAGCTTGCTATCGTATTAATGCCGTTGTCTAGTTCAATAGCGCCTGATTGTATCAAAATCTCTAACAATATGTCTACCAGTAGTCCGTCTGTCTGTCTGCCTGACTCCCTTGCCGCCTGCCTCCCTGCCTGGCTGGCTGCCTGGCCGGCTTTCTGGCTGGCTGACTGTCTGTGTGCCTGTCTGTCTCTCTGCAGCGCATGCATGTATGTATGTATGTACGTATGTAGGGTAACTATCTATAAACGGGCAGTTGTAGTCATTGGCCGCATGTCTGAGAGGCCGGCAGCGCTTTTCGACTCCTCCACTTGGTGCGGCCGGAGAAGGCATAGGGTTTAGGGTGTTCATTTCGGGTCTTGGATTTTGGACTTCAGGTTTCTCAAGTATGGCTTTTCCAGTTGTGATTGGGTTGCAAGGGTAATTACAGGATTGCTTCAAGGTTTCCTCGGTGGATCCGAAGTCGAAGAGAAGAAAGAAGAGCTGCCGAGAATCAGGGACTCCACCGTAGACCGCCGAAAGAACCGCGAAACAAATTCGACCCCCGGTTTCTGACAGCCTTGAAATCGCCTCAACCTTAAACCTCGTAACTCAAAACCCCTAGCCTGTCAACCCATATAGAACTTTTCTGGAAGCTTCGTAAGACCTGTATGGAACCTGTATAGAAGCTTTGTCGAACCTTTAAAAAGAACTCTTGCCGAACCCTCGCAACACCCTTGGACACCCTGATAAAGACCCGCAAACTCACTATACAGCCCTCCTCAAAGTATATCAACATCATAGAAGCACATAAAGCCATATAACATCCTATACCATAGGGGCCTTAATAAGTACCATAACATTTTTGCGGGTTCCTTATTATGATACTATAATGAGCCCCAAAACCCTTTTTCAATTATTGAGGCCCCTACATCCCTGAATCCCTTATCGTACCCTTATTGTAGCCCTTACAGGAGCCCTTTAAAGGAATCCTAGTTCAAGTATTGAGGCCCCTACATCTCTAAATCCGTTATCTTACCCTTAATGTATCCCTGAAAGGAGCCCTTTGAAGGAACCCTATTCTAACGATTAAGGCCCCTAAAGTACAGAACCCTACTGTAGATCCCTTACAGACCCCTTTAAAGGGAACCTCTAAAGGGGAACCCTACTCTAAAGGGACCCTATTTCAATGATTGAGGCCCCTACTTGGAGGGTCGGGGGACTTAGTAAGTAGGTAGTACGTAGACTTATAAGTACCATAAAAGGGACTCCTAATCGGGGTTATGGTACTTATAAGTCCCTAAAATAACCAGTTACTAAGTCCCCCGACCCTCCAAGTACAATGCACAACGTCCGTTCCACGAAGTGAGGCCGCGCCCCGAGCAGCGCCCAAGACCCTCTCGGAACGATTTCCGGCACGGCACCCAGGTGTCCCAGGGTTTGGGTTTAGGGTCTATCGGGTTTTGGCTTTGGGTTAGGAGGGCATGGGTTTCATGGGTATAGGCCGATCGCTTGCTAGAGTAATCGGGGTCCGAGTTCTTGGGTGTCAGGGTCAGGGGTTTGCGAGCGCTGCGGTTAGGGTTCAGCAGCTCAGCCTAAGCCCTACGACCTATCCTTAAGCCGGAATAACCTACCTTTTTAAGGACTTATATAAGGAAATCATAATAAGGAGCCCTAAAAAGGTAGGTTATTCCGGCTTAAGGTAGACCCTGAACTCCGAACGCGAAGCTCCAAGCCTAAGCCTAAGTCTTGAGGAAGCATGTTCCGGGTTTATATGGGTAGTTGTGAAAGTTGAAGTCCCTTTTTGGGGCACCCTAAATGATGGGTGCCGTATTATAATAGGGACCGAAAAAGGGACCCTAATTTTGACAACCACCCATATGTTTCGGGAGGTTTTGTTGTTTGTGTCGGCTTTTGAGTGGTTTAGGAGGTCTACGGAGTGTGGTGTTTGCATGTTTAGAGGTCGAGGTTAGAGTTCAGGGTTGAGGGTCTAAACCCAAAGCTCATCACCCTAAACCCTAACTTTCAAACCAGTGTTTAGGGTTTAGGGTTCTTCTTTCTTCGGAGTTGGGAGCAGCTTTGAGGTCGGAACGTCCGTGCTTTGCATCGACCCGCAATCTGAGGCAAGGAGGGCTTTTGTTTTTTTTTGCCTTTTCTTTGTTTTTTTTTTTTTTGTGTTTAGGGCTTTAGGGGTTCAGGGGTTTAGGATTTCGGGATTAAGGTTTTTCGATTTTTAGGCTTTTGGGCTTTAGGGGCTTTGCAATAGGGTTTTAGGGTTTTTTTGGGTGGTTTGGGGTTCAGGGGCTTAGGGGTTTCTGGGATGGGTGCGCTCTGGTCCTTGAAAAGTCGGATTTGCGCGCTTTGGGGTTTTGGGATTGGAGCTTCGGGGTTGCGGATTTAGGGCTTTCGGGTTTGGGGTTCTGCAGTCGGATTTTGGGATTTTTTGGGCTTGGGGTTTTTGGGGTTTAGGGTCTGGGGTCCGAACGACGGGTGGGCGGGTAGTCTAGGGTTCAAAGCTAAGAGGGTTCATGTTGTAAATTTTGCTCTGAGATTAGGACTAGGGTCGATTGTTTATTGCGGATGACGTTTTTTGGCTTGGGGACTGCTTCCCCGACTACTTTGCACAGAATAGTACTGAGCGAAGGTGCCGTTTCTCGGCAATATCAAACTTGCATGGATTGAGTCCTTTCCCATGCTTTTCGTTGTTCGGGGCGGTTAATCATGCGCCCAGCAGCCCAGCTACATCTATAGTGTGTTCTTAGCTTTTTGTTGGCACCTTGCCGGACAGTTGAACAGAAGTTGGTGGTACGGCAAGGAGCAGGTTGCCCGAGAAGGGTTTCGGCTTTATGCTTTAGGTATCTAAAAGATGGATGTACCGTTTGTGCTTGTGATATAGCTACTCTCGCAGGCTGTTCTGCACACCTTTTCGAAGCCCTTTCAAATTCACGTCTTTAGTAGTCGAGTAGGTAACCTTTAGCTTTAGCTTTTTTGGGTTAGTAGTTAGTATGGTCATACCTTAAGCCGGAATAGCCTACCTTTTTAAGGACTTATATAAGGAAATCATAATAAGGAACCCTAAAGAGGTAGGTTATTCCGGCTTAAGGTAATCCCAATGTACTCCCAAAGGACAACTTTCCGCTCCAATACTTCAAGCGGCCGAAGCGCCAAACCCAAACTACCAAGCAAGGCGAGACAATAAGCCTACACCCTAAACCCTAAACCCCCTACTTGGAGGGTCGGGGGACTTAGTAACTGGTTGTTTTAGGGACTTATAAGTACCATAACCCCAATTAGGGTCCCTTTTAGGGTACCTAATAAGTCTACTTGCTACCTACTTACTAAGTCCCCCGACCCTCCAAGTACACCTCAACTCGTAGCCGTCTCCAAAATTCACTCGGCTCTGAGCTGATCCTGCGACCCGGCCTTCGTCCATGGTTTCGGGAAAGAAAACGTTAAGGCGCAAGGCTCGACCGTAACCCTTCGAATCTCCCACAACCTGCAGATCTAGCCGTGAATGCCTGAGGTTCGACCACGAAACCTGAATTCCTCGACATTTGAACCACTGAGTTCTAGGCCCTGAAGCCCTAAACCCTAAACCCTTAACCCCTAAACCCTAAACCCCGAAACCCTAAATCCTAAACCCTTAAACCCTAAACCCTAAACCCCTAAACCCCTAAACCCTCGACTCTACCTTTGAAACCCAGAGCTCGACACCCTGAATCCCGCCAACCCCGCCCGCGTGGAGCCTGACAGCCTAGCTGGCACCCAAAAATTTGAGAGTTTCTGGTACCTTTAAAGGGATCCAGTAAGGGTTGCTATAAAGGGATCTATAAGGGTTCTATAAAGGGTTTAGGGTTGTAGAGTTTCGGAAAATGGGGTACCCCATGTTGGGGTCCCTATAATCAGGATTCTACTCTTTAGGCTACCTATATGAGGGTTCCCTGTTTTCGGAAACTCCCATTTAAGCCCTCAGCCCGAAATCCAAGGCCTCCGAAACTGATAAACCCTGGAACCTCAAACTCTAAACCCACCGATTCCTCAAAGGGGAAAAGGAGGGACCCTTAATGGGGACCCCTACCCTATAATGGGCTATATAATGGGTATATAATAGCTATATTAAGGGTATATACCTCGGGGTCCTTATTAAGGGTCCCTCCTTTTACCCTTGGAGATTCCGAAGAGCTCGAACTTCTTGCAGCCATGGGTGCATCCCTTGGGGGCGAGCGAAATGTTCGCCTGCTGTCACCAGAGATTGCATCACCGACCTATCTGCAGCGGGACAGGCCTGCTGATTGAGGGTGAACAAAACAATATGGTCCCAGGTCTCTTCAAAGGGTGCGGAAGTCATTTCCTGGAGTTTCCGAGCGGGGTCTGCATTCATTGCTTTGTGAATTTTCGTAGGCTTCAGACGTTTCCTCCAAGTCCCGGCGTCTACTGTGCTTCTATTGGCTGCCAGAAGTCTCACCGTCAATCCTACTAGGCGTCTTCTCTCACTGCGTCTGTTGCCACTGCTCAACCCTAAACCCCAAACCACAACCATCCCCCTCTCTACAACCAAGACACGTAAGTGCTCTCTTACAATGCCCATACTTCAACCCTAAACCCTAAACCCCCAACCCTAAACCCTCAACCCTAAACCCTAAACCCCAAAACCTAAACCCTCAACCCTAAACCCTCAACCCTAAACCCTAAACCCTCAACCCTAAACCCTCAACCCTAAACCGTACCTGGTGGTTGTCAGACACCCTGCATTTCAGCCCGGGGGTCCTCCAAATCCCAAGCCCTTAGAGCCTGCAGCAAAAAAGAGATCGGAATGCTTAGGATTTCGGGTTTAGGGTTGAGGGTTTAGGGTTTAGGGTTGAGGGTTTAGGTTTTGGGGTTTAGGGTTAAGGGTTTAGGGTTGAGGGTTTTTAGGTTTTTAGGCAAATTCCTTAGGGCTCCTGAGTACAACGATCGTGTAACATAACCTCCAAGACCTATTGTAAGTACTAAGGCACAACCATCTACAACCCAAAGTTTAAACCCGCACCCGCAATCCAAAATCCTAAGCCCGAAATCCTAAATCCTAGACCTTAAACCCTAAAGTCGGAATAACCTACATTTTCAGGGTTCCTTTTTATGATTTCCTTATATAAGTCCTTAAAACGGTAGGTTATTCTGGCTTAAGGTAAACCCTAAAGTCTCAACCTGAGCCCGTAAGCTCTGTACGCAGGGTTGAGAGGGAGCCTCAGACGACGGAAGATCTCTGCGCTGTGTGCCTCAGCGAGCTCTCGCGGGCGAAATGCTTCCAGCTTCCGGCTTCTTGGATGATGAACTATGGATCGAAGTTTTGGGGGTTTAGGGTTATGGTGTCCCGCACAAAATCGTTTGAATGAATGTGGGGACTGCCTCCGTGGCCAGGGTTCAAGATGTTCTTCGGGGGCCTGGTGCTTGGGGTGCTTATTCGGGGTGTTGTGTTGCTAGGACTATTAAAGCCAGCCTCTTAGTTTATGGTTCAGGTATCCGGGTTTAGGCTTCAATTTCGGCTTAGGGTTTAAGGCTTGGTTGCATTTGTATCATAGCTGTTTCGGGGACGATTGCAAACCCCGATGTTTGTTCGTCGGGCCCGCCACCCTCCCTGCGTCGTGCGTCTGGGCTTGTTTGTCGCTTGGCCGCCCCTAAATCCCTGCACCCTAAGCCCAAACCTCTGAAGACCGAAACCCTGAAGCCTTAAACCCGACACCCTCAACCCCTCAAGGGCTGTGGACATCGCTTCCATGCCCTCTGCATTGCCTCCGCCTTCCAGATCCAGCAGCCTGGCTGCCTTCCGGGGTGTAGAGATCTTGCAGCACAGGGCTCTCAGGTTTTGATGCAGGCTTTTATCAGGGTTTCACTACTACTACTACTACTACTACTACTACTACTACTACTACTACTACTACTACTACTACTACTACTACTACTACAGCAAGGGTTCGGAGAGTGTTCGATGGGGTCTAGACTTCGGTTTAGATCTATCCTGTCTTCGGGGTTTAGACACGGGTTCCATAGGACTCTTTCACGGATTCCAGCATGTTCCGAATGACGGCCTGAACCTTGAAGCCTTCAAATCTTTGACCCTGAAACCCAGAGAGCCCAATCAAAACAATCAAAATAATACTATGTATTTTACCAATACCCCTTAATTAAGGAGTATAGCTTAAATCATAATATGAAGCCCTATATGGTTTAAGCCCTATTCCTTAATTCAGGGGTATTGGGCTCTCTGGGAACCTATACCAGACCCCGGCTCTCCACCTCCCTTCCCACAGCCGCTGCATCGAAAGCCTGCTCGTTTGTAAAGGAAAACCCGAAGAGCGCAGTTATCGGGGCCTACAAAAAACTAGGTGCTGGTTGTGCAGGTGCTTAGGAGAGCAAAGACTCAGACCCCAGTTCGAAAGAGGGAAGCCAAGCGACGGTTTGGGGCTCGGGTTTCCGAGCTTGATGGGTTGAGGATTTGGCGATTTGGGGCTTAGCTGCCCCAAGCTGCAAAGCTGCCAGCCCTAAGCCCGAAAGCTGCGACCAGGCAGCTCTGCCCGCTCTGCCGCGTAGTGGTCGATGATTCAACCTGCATGGATGTGGCCGGCGCCTTAGTTTAGGGTTTAGGGATTCGAAGGCTCACGACTTCGGGTGATTTAGGTTTTGGAGCCCTGAACCCTGCGAGGTAAATTGAACGGCGGCCCACCCATACAGTATTCTGCTCTGCCTGGCAAGGCCTGTGGAAGACTCCATTTAAGGGGCCGAACGCAAAACAAGTAGAATCCAACTGCAGATCATCTCAAACATGTCAGGCTTGTCATAGTTGCGACTCATGCAACGTGTACAACACATTTACTGCATGCAGTGCTTGGATTGCGTGTGCGCAATACATACTATTCAGAGCATGCGATGTATGCAGCCCTACATCTTACACTTTGAAAGCTCGCCCCCCTACACCCCACGGGAATACCTGAATGAATGTATTCATGGTTACATACGGGAATACGTGAATGAATGTATTCATGGTTACATGTTAGCACAGTCCCGGCGATGCCAAGACCTCGCTCGCGGTGCCCATGGAGAACTGTTGCGGTGTCATGCCATTTGTTCACGTGGATTTGTATGTTAAGGCTTCAGGTTTTTAGCGGTTTGTTCATCTTCAGGTAGGCGCTTGTTGGTGTGTGTAGGATGGGATTTCTGACTGGGACGTAGTCTGAAGAGTCTTGGGCGATAAATGATGCTCCAATTTCTTCGATAGTGTAGATAGTAAGAGTAACTTACCCCCCTGTGGCATGGTCGTTCCCAGAATGACGACGTTGATCTGAATCAAGTTACCAGTACACCTTAAGCTCCAAACCCTGAGCTATAAGGCGCGCAGCCTATTCGCCGGAGCGGGTCCACATGGTGCAAGCTTTGCAGCTGAGCTGCTGTCGGAGCTGGGCAGCCGCTTACGCACGGTCGAGACAGAGCTCAGCGTGGAGGCTGACTACGAGACCCTAAAGGCTGAAGAATGAACCCTAAACCCTTCTGTCTGCTTTATGGCCCTCTGCATAGACGAGGGACTCCCACCGAAGCCCTGACGGGTCATCCACAGTCCGAGATCTCATAGCCTGAGCAGTATGTCAGGCCCCGAAGAAGCACATACCAGGGGTGCGACCCCATACAACATTAGACATCTGCCTTCACCCCTAAACCCTAGATCTCCCAAAGCCCCTGAACCCTAGATCTCCCATCACCCCTGAACCCTAGATCTCCCATCACCCCTAAACCCTAGATCTCCCATCACCCCTGAACCCGAGATCTCCCAAAGCCCCAGTTATCTCCGCATTTTCGGGCCCTGCGTGGCAGGAGACGGTGGCTGCGATCCAACGCTGCGCCAAGCAAGGCCTTGCTTGTGCTGGATAAGGGTTACTATAAGGCTATCAGGGCTTCTGTAGGCTACTATATGGATCTTACATTACTGTATGGATATTTGATAGAGGGTTTACGGATTCGGGTTCAGGGTTTAGGGATCATGTTTTGCCTCAAGGGGACGGTTTAGGGTCGAGCTTGTCTTGTTGGGGGGTTATGGTTTAGAGTACTATGGGGGCCTAAATGATTACCAATGCTATTTTCGGGGTTCCTTGTTTTGATTATAGTATAATGGGCTCCGAAACCTTGTTCTAAATTATTGAGCCCCTATGCTAGGTTTGGACGCGGTTGTTTGGGTCTCGGGAGCTTCTTGCTTCGGATGCTGAGTTTCATGGCATTTTGCTTACAGATCTAGAGGTTGAAACCCAAAGCTCTAAACCCTAAGCCCTAAGCCCTAAGCCCTAAACCCCAAAAGCCCTCTCAATCCGGTTTCGGGGTTAAGGCTTTGGGGTTGGAAGCGTTCAGGAACTGGGGTTGGAGGTTGAGGGTTCGCGGTTTGTCTTTGCAATTTTAGGCTAAGCACCTTAAATCCCCAAACCCAAACCTTAAGCTCCTAAACTCCTAAACCCCAAGCCCTATAAACCCGAAAATCCCCTGCAGCCCGTGAGGGGACGACTCCAAGATTCCGATGATCGCCACCCTCCTGCAGGCGGCTTCGGGGCGTAGGGAGAGCCCGAAGCCCTGAGGCGCAAACTCTAAACCCTACCTTAAGCCGGAATAACCTACCCTTTTAGGGTTCCTTATTATGATTTCCTTATATAAGTCCTTAAAAAGGTAGGCTATTCCGGCTTAAGGTAAACCCTAAGCCTAAACTCTAAACCCTAAACTCAAAACCGATACCCTCAAAACCCTAAAACCCTAAACTCTTTAAGCCCAAAATTCTATACCCTAACCACCAAAACCCTAAACCCTCCACAACCCAATCCCCGAACCTGAAAGCCCTGGGCCTTGAGCCCGAAACTAGCAATAATGTAGGAACCTGATTGAGAAACCTTGGGCCTTTAATCAAGTTCCTTGTATGATTCCTACTATTTTGGGGTTGTAGGCCCAGGGTTGCTTAATCAGGTTCCTACATTGTTGTGGTGTTCTTTATTATAGTTATAATATAATGGCCCCAAAACCCTATTCTAACCCTAAACCCTAAACCCTGAACCCTAAACCCTAAACCCTAAACCCTAAACCCTAAACCCTAAACCTTAAACTTGAACCCTACTCGTTTTCTCACAGCTGTTCTTGTTGGCGAGGCGGCGCCGAGCGGCTCGGAAGGTGGGGTCCGATTGCAACAGGAAAGGGGCTTCGGGATTAGGGCTTACCTTAAGCCGGAATAACCTACCTTTTTAGGGTTCCTTATTATGATTTCCTTATATAAGTCCTTAAAAAGGTAGGTTATTCCGGCTTAAGGTACGAGTTAGTAGGGTAGGGTAGGGTAGGGTAAGGATGGGGTTTAGGGATTTGGATTTACGGTTTAGGGGATTGCGAGGTTTTTGATTAAGATTTTGGGTTGTAGTTTCAGGGCGTAGGGGGCTTGACGGTTTAGAGTGGAGCTCTAGGGCTTGAGGGTGTTGCGGCTTGGGGTTCAGGGTCTTTTGGGCTTGTCACGAGGCTCGAAAGGGTGCTTGAGCGCTTCAGGCTTCCCTGCTTCTTGGGTGATCTGCGGCCTAGCATTCGGTTTTCAGGCCCTAAACCCTAAACCCTAAACCCTAAACCCAGCAATCTTCTTTTTTCTGGTTCAGCGGTCAGGAGGCTTTAGGGGCGCATTGTCGGCTAGATTGAGACTTCTTCTGATCTTTAGAGATGCTTCTTCTAGAACACGCCGCAGGACGATCGGTGTCCGAAGCTGGCTAGCAGAAACCCGCAGTTTTTGAGCATCCCATTGTCAGGCACCCAAGCAGCACATAAGCATAAGCATTTTCCCGGGATATCCCTACCTCACTAGGCTTCCTTCTAACAGGATTTATGTGGGCTATCCCTATCCTAATTTTTGCTTATGTGCTTTTTGGGGCCCTACATTGTGTACTCTCACATGCTCTGTTGGGGTTCATCGTGTACTCCTGAGGCCCTGAATCGGAATATGGCTTCATAGTGGTAGGTAAGCCCAAAACCCGAAACCCAAAGCCATCATAATCAGACCCTGAACCTTAAAACCTTAACACCCTACCCCCTCATATGAACCCGCATGGATCCCTTTTAAAGGGACCCTTACAGCCTAAAGCCTAAACAGCTTTCAACGCCAGGGCCAGCTGCAGTGCAGGAGCTCGAAGTGAGGCTAGCGGCGGTACAGGTGCCGGAGACAGTTGGGGGTTTCCGAAACTTAGGGGTACCTTATTTAATAAGGATTCTACCATTTTGGGGGTACCATAATTTTTGGGTGGTTGTCAAAATTACGGTTCTTTTTTGGGTACCACCCAAAAAAGGTGCCTTATTATAATAAGGATCCGAGAAGGGACCGTAATTTTGACAACCACCCATATTAGGGTCCCTTGTTTTCGGAAACTCCCAGTTCAGGGACTGGGAAGATGGCAGTCTACAATACTATTTTGGGGGTTCCTTTTGATACCTATCGTATAATTTAGAAGGGGCCCCCCACGGGCCCTATTATATTCCTACTATACCACTATTACAGGGTGGGGGCCCCTTCTAAAGTATAATGGCGCCCAAAACCCTATTCTAATTATTAAGGCCTCGAGTTATGGTTCGGGGCTTAGAGCTTCGGGGGGGGCGGAGTTTAGGGTTTAGGGTTTAGGGTTTAGGGCAGCGTCTGTTTCCGGGCTTTTGGTGGAGAGAGGGTGTGCATCCGAAGCCGTCAACCCAGACGCTCAACCCTAAACTCATCTCTTAACTGGGACTTAGGATTAGGGGGACCCTCGGGGATATAAACCCTCTCAATAAGGTCCCTTTTAAGAGAGCCAGAAGTAGGGTTCGGAAGGGGTACCCTTTAAGGGGTCTCCCTCATCATGCTACCCATTAGCCACTGCCACTGCATCGCTGAACTCGGAAAGGTTGGTTGTTTTTTTGGTTCGATGGGTTCCTTTCGGTGAATCCAAAGCTGAGAAGCTGAAAGAAGATCCAGGTCCAAGTTGTTGCAACACCTCCATGTGGGTGGTTGTCAAAATTATGGTCCCTTTCTGGGTCCTTATTATAGTACGGCGCCTAACATTTAGGGTACCCCAAAAGGGACCCTAATTTTGACAACCACCCATGTCTCCAATGCTTCATGCCCGACCCCCAATCCCCTCTGCCCTTCAACCCTGGATGCAGGGTTGGTTTCTGGATGCTGGGTTCCCTTCAAAGTACCGATTAAAAACGAGTTTATTGTATAAGGGGACTTCATGGAGGGGGCCATAATCTAGAGCACATGTAAGTCTCGTCCATAAGAGCAACCGAGCAGGTACTTTCTCATCGCTATCCGTCGCTACTTGTAGATCTTCAGTGTAGCATTGTGTTTTGAACATCTACTCTAAACTCTTTCCGGCTTGTATTTATCATAGCTATTGCCACTTTCAAATCTGTAACTAGTATAGTGATCGCCCTTGCTATCATGCTCTTATGACGTCCCTCGCCCCAAACCTTAAGCCCTTCGCCCTACTATTGGTACTGCTTTCAGTGATCCTGTACCCTAAACCCCCGAGCCCCTAAACTTTACCTAAACCCCTAAACCCTACCGCTTCAACCCAAAACCCCTAAACCCGAAACCCCCTGAACCTTAAAACATCTTAAACCCATAAACCAAAGAGCCGGCATGTGCTACGTTCCACCCTAAACCCTAACCCCTAAAGTCTAAACCCTCACTGAGGCCCCAACATAGGCTCCACCTGGTAAGGTGTTCCTTCTGATAATGCAGTCGGAAAAGGGCCCGCAAAACAATAAGTCTAAACCCTAAACCCTACACCTTAACCCGTGGCTCTGCGTTCCACAAGAGGCGCTCAGAACGCTGGTGCCGGCCTTCCCAGCTCAGTGGCCAGGCCAGGCCACCAGGGGCAGAGGGTTTAGGGTTCAGGGTTTGGGGCTTTAGGGTTTAGGGGTGCAGGGTTTAGGGTTTAGAATTTTGAACTTTTGGGTTTAGGGTTGTAGGGTTTAGGATTCAGCGGTTTAGTGTTCAGGTCTTCAGCAGGGTTTTGGCCTGAGGGTTTCATCCTAACGTGCGATACCCATAGCTTACCCTCGGTGCCGGGAAAAGTTCGATGTCTTGGCGCGGGTTTCAAGGCACCACTCAGACTGTTGGCGCTGATGCTCCGGAGCTTTCTTTTCGCATCCCTCTGGCGCAGGTAGTTTGTAGAAGAAGCGCAGAAGGTTCGACATCCACCAAACCCAACATGAGCAGCTTGCCTCGAATGTCGCCGGCTCTTGCAAAGGGATTTGAGATCGGGACGCTGTCGTCTGTCTTCTGGGTCCAAGGATGCGATTATGGAGGCCAGGATGCGCGAGGTGTTAGTGGCCCATGCCCAGCTCGACAGCATGCAGGAAGAGCTGGCAGCAATGCAGCAGGAGGTGTACGATGATTATGAGGCCATCTGCCGACATGATTGGATCCGAGCTGATTGGGGCACGAGTTGGACAAACTGGGAAGAGATAAACAGAGCGAAGATGCTCCGGTCAGGGTAAGCACCAAATGTGCCGACATGGTCACCAGGGGCGAGTACCTGTGGAGGATCACAGGCTTTTCGTGGTTGAGAAACATGCTGCATCAGCAGGGGTCGGGGAATTATGTGTGGTCTCATTCCGTTGACCTGGGCCACGAAAGAGTCCGGTTTGCGTAGAATCCATCTGCTCGCAGGTTATGGGATGAAGCCTTGGAAGATCAGTATACTGCAGGTGCTGGTGGGCCCTATGGGTCTCTCGCAATACAGGTGCGCATGCGGAGCAGCCTTGCGATTCGATATCGCATAGTTGACAAAAGTCGTAGAAAGCTCCAAACCCTAGACCCTAAACCCTAAACTCTGTGGACCTCTGTTGTTTTGTAGAAAGCTCCCAATCTTGAGGAGGCTCCTAAAATCCTAAACCCTCAGCCTTAAACCCTTCAACCCTAAGCCCTAAGCCCTAAACCCCGAAATCCTAAACCCTAACCCTGAAGAGGCTGGCAGGCCGTCCGTGGACTTCTTCGTGAGGTCGCCTGTGAGGCGTTTGGGGTTTGGATTTAGGGTCTAGGGGGTGGGGGCTTAGCCAAGAGTTTCGGATCTAGGGGTTTAGGGATGTGGGGGTTCAGGGTTTAGGTGTGGGATTTAGGGTCTACGGGTTTAGGGTTTGGGGTTCAGGGTTTGGGTTCTCATTAAACGAGTTGGTGCTTTTGCATGGAGTGTAGGACGAAAAGGTCCTGTTACCTAATTTTAGGGTGTATGGCTTGCAGTTTCAGGGGCTTGGGGTCAAGGTCCGAAGGCTTTCGGGTTTAGGCTCTAGGCCTTATTCCCTTGTTGCCTACTTAGGCCTTGTAATGGGCTCTGTAGGGGACGATGCGGGTTCGGGGGTTTGTGCTGTCTCATTGAAGGTTGCAGGGTTGAGGCTGTTATTAGTTCAGGGCTTCGGATTCCTGCTGGTTGTTTGGGGTTGCAGGAATCTGTAGGCTTGGGTTTAGGGGTTTCGGGACTGTTGGCGACACATTGTTTCCGTTTTCTTCGTCCTAGGCGCGGTTTCATTCATGATCAGTTTATTTCCATCGCTTTCAACCCTCTCAAGCGGTTTCATGTAGCTACCTCTTTCTTGTGTGTGGAAGAACACTTTTCATTCATGCGTGAGTGTCAGGACGAAGATCTAGGTTCAGGCATGAGTTTCTGAGGTTTCAGACCGTTGTTCCTTTGCGTTTGGGGTACTTTTCTGCATCACAAACCGACAATGCCCATACGGAACCGTAAAGCTGTTTTCAAAAGTGCAAGCCGCCAGGCGACAGCTGCAAACCCTTAGCCCAAATTCCAATGCCTTCAAATCCAAATCCAGGCCCTGCATTCTGGACCCCAAGCCCGAGAAAACGCGATTGCCCCAAACCGATACCTGACCTGTATCCAACTTTATCCAACCCTGGAAAATCTGTAACATCCTTCAAAAGGGGCCATCAAGAATTGCAGTCATGTGGTCCCAATAAACCTAGCCCTAAACCCTAAACCCTAAGCCCCGAACCCTAACTCTAAACCCTTACTAGCGGTAGGTTTAAGTCGTCCCTGCTGGGGCGAAGTCGTCCCAACTCCATTTGCCGCAGGGTTTGGGTTAGTTTTCCCATACCTCTACCATATCTTGTTTCTTATCCAGTCTCTACTTTCTGCGCGATCCAGTACTGTGCGCGGTCTTTCCTTGAAGTTGGATACATGTTGTGATGCCACTTGTGTCTGGAGTGGTGCTTGCGAAATGGAGCGTTTACATGGGGAATGGCTGGTTTTGATCTGCTGTTCGCTGTGATGCCACTGATGTGTTTCTCGAGCGGCTGCTTGCAACATCGAGCGTCTGCATGGGGAATGGCTGGTTTTGAATTGCTCTTTGCTGCGATGCCACTGATGTGTTTCTTGAGCGGCTGCTTGCAAATTCGAGCCTGTACTTTGGGAATGACTGGTGTTGATTTGCTCTTTGCTGCGATACCACTGAGGTCTAACATATTTCGTAAACGGCTGCAAATCGAGTATCTACATGGGGAATGGCTGGTTTTCGTAAAGCCGATGTGAATATGCAGACTGCAACAGCTCAGACCGTGCTGGAGACTCCCTACACAGTGCCTGCACGCGCACAGCCCTGCGCAACATGTGCACAATCCGTCCTTTCCCACATGCGCTACTGTGGCCACTGCGGCTCCACCAACACGAACTTCTGCAAGGGTGAGCTCGCAGTGTACAAAGGTGCCAAGTCCTATGGTTACAAGAAAAAGCAGGAGAATATCTTCGACATGACGGAGGCTTTGAAAGATGTGCCCGCAGAAACAAGGCCTAGCGCTTTGCTTTCATGAGAGACCTCTTGACGGAGATGCGTAAAAGGAAGCAGCGCGATGACGAGCCTTCGGCCTTGATAGGCAATGCGAGCCATACAGCCCCGGAACTTCCTGCAGCGCCTAAGAAGCCTAGAACATCCGAAGCGGCGCAAGCCGCTTCCCCTGAGCTCCCAGAGCAGGGCAGCTCAGACGAAGAATATGATATGAACTCCGTGCCGGATTGTGTGGCAATTATCGAAGCACGGTTTCCCGCACAGGAAGTCGCCAAGATGAACCTTTCGGTGAGCCAATTCACGAAGATAGCTGAATTTTACGTGAATCACCTCAAAAGCAAAAGAGGTGCGACACTTGCTCACTGGATGTACAAAGACCTTATCGAGCCCGGCACCTTGGAATCGAAGACCACAAGGGCAAACTGGCTCGAGACGTTTCAGAAGATGAGATCTTTACAGTTCGTCCCCAAGACACTGCCCAAGAAACCCTGAGCGTGCAGACAAAAGTGCTCAGCGCTCGTGAGTTTTCCTGGTTCTGCATCTTGTAAAGCCAGAAACCTGACTGCTACAACAACTTCAACCACTCACTACAACATACTAAAACCTCTATAGTGTCCCCGCCGCGTGCGCGCATTACCAGGCGGCCTTCCAAAATCAACGCTCGGTGCGCGATCAACGCACGGTACGCGATCAACGCTCGGTACGAGGGGAGGGTTGAAGCTCGGTACGCCATCAACGCTCGATACGTGCACCTCGCAGGTGCAAGGTCAACGGTACACTGGCAGTGCTCTGTGCGTGGACTTCGGGTATTTGCAAACTCTGGGTGTGTCGCGACGCATACAAAAAGGACTTCGGTTCCCGCAAGAAAAGACCAGCGTGTATACTTATTAGAGACTCGGTGCCTGGCGTAAAGTCGCCCCAAGCCTGCGGCACACGGCGTGGGAGTGAAGTCACCCCAGCGGGGTGATGCCCGCCCAACAACAATTAAACTATGGCCATTCCGCAAGGGCACACGCATTTTTGGGGTGTTCGCCTTTTGCACCTGAAATGCCGCGTGCCGTGTGCACGGTGGCTTGGGAAGCATCATTTATGGCGAGAATACACATGACTTTAAGCCAAAACCCGAAGGTGGATGCTGGTTGTAGCCCCAAGCCCAATAAGCTCAAAACCCTAAGCCCTGAGCTCTAAACCTGAAGCCGCAAACCCCAAACCCTAGGCCACAACCCTAATGTAGGAACCTGATAAAGAAACCTTGGGCCTGTAACCCCCAAATAGTAGGATTCATATAAGGAGCCCTTATAAAAGCCCAAGGTTTCTTAGAGCCAGGCAGGCGCTGCTGAGGAGCTCCGCCTCTCGGCCGTGCAGGCGCTGAAGGAGGCGTCTGGAGCTGGGGGGGAACCCCATTCGGGTTTAGGGTTTAGGGTTTCTGAGCCCTGGTCCTAAACTCTAAACCCTAAGCCTTGAGACCTAAGCCCAAAACGCTAAACCGTAAACGCTGAAAGGGGGTGGGTTTCTTGTTTTAGGGTTCAGAGGTTGGGTATTAGGGTGTGGGCAGTTTGGGTGTGTTAGGGCTTACTGGGGCAAAAAGGGTTTGAGGGTTGAGATGTTTTAGTTTGCCATAGAGAAATTCCAAACGCCCAAACCCTGAACCACAAATCCTAAACCGCGCGCCCTGGATCCCATGCTCAACTCCCACAGTCTGCTCTTTGCGAACGGAGGTGCGCCTTCATCTTCTTCAAATTTTTTTGGACTTGTAGCTCGAAACCCACCCCAACCAGAAGCGACCCTAAACCCTAAACCCCCAAACCCTAAACCCCTAAACCCCTAAACCCCTAAACCCGAGAACCTCGGCGGCGCAGGTCAGCCGGCGGGACGCCCGCGATGAAGCTCTGCCGGGACCTTGGGGGGCTTGATTTGGGGGAGATCGCGGGTCTCCGATCCCGAAAAGTAGGGTTTAAAGGGGTTTGGGGTTTAAGGTTTAGGGGATTAGTAGGGGTTGGGGGTTTAGGATTTAGGAGATTAGGGGGTTCGGGCTTAGGACTTTTGCTCTTTGGGGGGTCTTTTTGCTTGCTCTGCAAGATTTCAGGCTTTCAGGCTTCCTATCATGTTCGCAGGCGTGTTCTTGACCGGTTAGCATGGGGCAGATTCCAGAGCCTCTGCGGTGCAGTCGCGGCTCAAGCCTCTTCCTGCTTTCCACTGTCACGTGCAGCACTTCATTGCACGACGTCCGTTTTTGCTGCTACGACTCGTTGATCCCAGCATTTCGGAAGCGGAAGCCATGATGGTGCGGGCTCTGATGTTCTCCTTTGTTGCGCTTGCTTCGGCAGCTGCCCGACAAGGCCCCAAATCGCTTGAGGGAGTTGGTGTTTCGGACGTAGGTTGAAGGATTTGCAGGTTCGGGGATCTTAGTTAGATAAATAGAAAGCATAGCGGGGCTTTAAGACTGATGGGATCATTGCAGTTAGATCTTAGGTACTTTTCGGATTGTTTGAGCTGAGCTGTTAGGAACTGCAGCGGCTGGGTCCTGGGCGCGGGTTGATAACGCACATGGGGTCTTGTTTTTTTACTATAGTAGGTATGACAAGGAGCGCTAAGAAGAGCATTACTGATAGTATTATTACTACTATTATGACTATTATTCTCATGAACCTTTATATCGTAATTCATTTTCAGACCCGTATATGTGCAGAGTCAAGACTCAAGGCATAAGCAGCTACCACGACCACCGCTTCTGCTGCTACTGGCACCCCACCACCTTCCTCCACACTTCTTATGTATTTACCATTGTTGATGCTGATGGCAAGAAGGGGCATAAGTGGAAAGGAAGGGTTTCCATCGACGCACTCATCAGCAACATCATCACATGTTTGGCGCCCGCCGGCGTTTTGAAAACACCACTCAGGTCTAGGGCCTCGGGTCTAGGTGCAACTTTGCGTGTTGGGCGTCGGCCTCTTGCGGATTGACCTTCAGCCGTGTTTAGAGTTTGGGCACCTTGCTTCACAGTAAGTGCTGAGGCATTTGTGCTGTGCTTATCATGTTTGGAAGAAGTTCATGAGGTGTTTCTATGGAGGTGCCTCTCTCGAAGCCTCAAAGCCGAAGGCACGATGAGCATGTGGAGCGAGACTCATGACACCCTGGTGGCCTACAAGACTCCCGGCCCTAAACCCTAAACCGTGGGAGTCTGGGTGGAGGATTTCGAGTTTAAGGCCTTGTGCGATGTAATACTCTACGAGGTGCCTTGAATCTCGACGGCAGGCTGTGGCATTCAAAGTCGGTTGAGGGCTTGTGAGGTTCAAAGCTCAGTCTGTAGTACAGGGGCCTGAATAATTGGACCAGGGTTTACAGGGAGCAAATATACTGTACGTACAGTACAGCAAGGAACTCTAAGGAATAGAATCGCTACGTTTCCGGCTTCTACATTAGTACATTTGAGGATGAAGATTTGTGGTTCTGGATCAGTTCTGGGGTCCGCATCGTCGAGGCTGTCGACAGAGGAAGTCCGTGCAGAAACCGCATACAAGACTGCCGCATGTCAACTCAGAAACTCCGCTGGAAGCCAGAAAAACCCGAGCCAAAACCGCGGAAGAAGCACGAGAAACCGTATAGAACCCCTAAACCCTAAACCCAAAGAGCCCTTAACCCCTACAAAACCGGGAAAGAATATAAATCCCAGTAAAGCATAAGCCGCATATAAAGCCTTATAAACCCTATAAGTGCACAAGCCCTATATGAACCTTATAAACCCTAAACCCTAAACCCCAAGAGCCCTAAACCCCTACCAAAGAGCCCTAAACCCCTACAAAATCGGGGAAAGAAGCACTCAGGAGCGAGGGCAGCGCCTGCATACTCAAAACCGCAGAAGAAGCACTAGAAACCCATAGAAACCCTAAACCCTACTTTCGAAGAGTCCTAAACCCCTACCAAAGAGCCCTTAACCCCTACAAAACCGGGAAAGAAGCACTAGAAACCCTAAACCCTACTTTCGAAGAGTCCTAAACCCCTACCAAAGAGCCCTTAACCCCTACAAAACCGGGAAAGAAGCACTAGAAACCCTAAACACTACATTCGAAGAGTCCTAAACCTCTACGAAGCAGCAGAACCAAAGATCAGGAGCGAGGGCAGCGCCTGCAAGTACGCCGACCGCCTCGTTGTCATAGTTGGGTAACATTTTACATTTTTATGAGTACTTTAACCCCAAAAATAGTAGTAATAATGATAATGTTTTTTATTTTTATGGGTACTTAAACCCAATAATAATAGTAATAATGATAACGTTATTATTGTTGGGTACTTAAAGCCAATAAGGAATAAGAGTTTAATTTTTAACCCTATCCCAACCATGAACTAGGCCTCATGGGCGGTCTGAACTCCGCCACCGCCCAGACGCCGTACATCACCTCCAAGAGCCTTAGCTTTAGGGTTTAGAGATTGGGGTTTAGGATTTAGGGCTTAGAGATTGGGGTTTAGGATTTAGGGTTTAGGATTTAGGGTTTAGAGTTTAGGATTGAGGATTTAGGGTTTAGGATGTAGGGTTACCTATAGTCTCCATTGTAGTTCCTTTTTTTGGTTATCCAGTTTTATGGTTAGGACCCTATAATAGAGATTTTGGTTAACCAAAAAAAGGAACTACAATGGAGACTATAGGTAGAGTTTAGGATTTAGGGTTTAGGCTTTAGGGTTTAGGGTTTAGAGCTTAGGGTTTTGGGTTTAGGCTTTTAGGGTTTAGGGTTTAAGGTTTAGGGTTTAGGGTTTAGGGTACTGGGTTTGGGGTTTAGGGTTAGCACTCTTCGGTTACAGATTCCATGTTGGGAAAGACAAGGGCAACTAAAAGACCTCAGTATCCCTAAACCCTAAAACCTTAAAGCCTGAACCCAACACAGCACTAAGAACCTCAAACCCTAAAGCCTAAATCCTAAATCCTAAACCCTAAACTGTAAACCCTAAGCTCTAAACCCTAAACCCTAAAGCCTAAACCCAACACCGCACTAAGAGCCTGAGGTGCAACTTCAGGGTTGCCAGGATTTTAGGTTTGCATGGGGCTTGGGGTTTTTGAGGCTTTCGGGAGTCTAGCCTCGCATAAGGATTGGGGTTTAGGGGGTGTGGGATTCGGGATCTAGTCTTTCCGGACTTTGGGGTTTGGGTTTAGGGTTTAGGGTCCAAGAGCTTCTGTTGCCTCTATAGAGCAGTTTGAACTTGTTTGGGTGCGGTTATGGAACGAGGGAGTTCACAGCCTCGAAGGGCCATCGAGCTGTGCAAGCGTGGGTTGTTGACAGCCTTTCAAACGAGAACGTGAGTTTGGCTTTGTATTGTTTCATGTTGAAAGGTCTGAGGTGGTTTAAGGGTTCTATACCCTAAAGCCTAAACCTTAAACCCTAAACCGTTCTATTGTTTCTGTTTTCTCGGGTTGACCTACGGCCCGAAGCTTTGCTTTCAAGGTCATGTTGGGTGTGAGGTCTGAGTAAGTAGTGGTTGATCTTTGCGAAGCAAAGTACCCCAAAGGCCGACTATAGATATTTGGGACGCTGTATAAATAGGACCATACGAGAACTCAGTAAGGCCCTAGTACACTCATGAAGGCTATCTTTAAACAATCAAGAGTTTGCGGCTTGCAGCATCCTTGGGCTTTTGAGTTCTAGGACACTCTTGAGGCTTAGTATGCTTACGCGCTTTGGGTTTAAGGTTTTCGGGGCTTAAGGGTTTGAAGTTTTGGGTTCAGAGTTTCAGCAAGGGATTTGGAGTTTAAGGTTTTGGGTTAGCACGAGAAAAGACTCGGATTATGGACGGGTTCTGAGGTTTGGGTTTAAGGCATAAACAAGTGTGGCAAAATTTGAACTTTGGATGTCCTAAAGGTGCTGGAGCCAGAGAAAGGCTAAATAGCAGGCCCTGAAGCACCTCACAACCATATACCCCCCTACGTACTAACACCTAGCGTTATCCTAACCCCAAGTACTGCGAGGAACTACTGCGCTGTGAATCGCGGGCTCTTCGGCAATGGCGAGGCCGAGAAACGAAGGGGTAGTTGTCAAAATTATGGCCCCTTTCTGGGTCCCCTAAATATTAGGTGCCGTATCATAATTAATAAGGACCCAAACAGGGAACCATAATTTTGAGAACCACCCGAATGGGCTTAGGGTTTGGGGCTCAGGGCTCAGGCCTTTCTTGGCTTCGGATTTGCGGTTGAAGTTTGTAGGGTTCGTGGCGTTCACCCGTCGTGAAGGTTCTATGGGGGCTTAGGGTTCTTAGGGCTTTGGAATTCATGTTTTCAGGTGTTGGGTTTAGTTTGGTTTAAGGTTGAGGGATGGTTAAGGTGTTGGTTTAGCCTTCAGGGCTTTCGGGTTCAGGTTCAGGGGTTAATATAGGGGCCCTAATAACAACTTATGCTAGTTCGGGGGTTCTTTATTATAAGTATAGTCTACGGGGCCCCAAAACCCTATTCTAATTGTTAAGGCCCCCCATATTAAGTGCTGCGTACACGTTCGGAGCACGGCGGCCGCGAGGTTTGTGGACGATGCTATCGCCTGACCTACCGCGGTGGCCATGAGCCATGGATGCACGGGCGGGTTGGGAGCACCTTGAAGCTTCCTGGGCAGGTACACTTTGTCATAGTTGGGTAACATGTTACATGTTTATGGGTACTTAAACCCAATAAGGAATAAAAGTTTAAGTTTTTTAATCTTATCCCAACCATGAACTAGTACAAGTGACATTGAAGTGGCATTGTAAGTACTTGCGCTGGTGGGCCATCCATAAAACCGTAAACCCCAACCCCCGACCCTTTGAAACGTCTCGCATCTGTAATGGCCTGAAAGCTGAAAGCCCTGAAGTCCTAAAGCCCTAGACCTCAAACTGGCACGCTGAAGGATACCACCTAAATCCCAAGTCTGTAATCCT